CCGGAGTCCTATCGCCGAGTACGGGGTGATATCATCTGTGTGCAACGTATTCTTCGCGGTGACATGGGTCCAGAGTTGATGGAGTATTTCCCTCTGCGCGAGCAGACCAGGACTCGTGGACATGGACTTACGCTGTTGAAGCTTTCGTCCGTAGGATTACCTCTTCGGTTCCGGCTATCGCGAAGGGTAACCAATCTTTGAAACTCCCTTCCAGCTGACGTGGTGGAAGAGGTCAATGATAAGATGTTCAAGAGGAAGCTCGACAGCGTCCTGCGAACAATGTGGTATGCAGATCTATCATGAATGAGATCTTCGAGTCTGTGGTGATGTGGCTCATACGGGAAATTACCCTCTGCCTCTAATTGAAGAACACTGAACATTGAACATTGACACGGTGGATCTCCGGAAATGGTATCGAAGTTTCCTTTTTCAGTCACAAAACTTCATATCACAATAATTAGTACGCAGGTGAAAGATTTGTTGCATTCCTGAGCCTCATCCATAAGTATCAACGAGGATCGCATCTATTACGTTTGATTCATTACATCTCATGTAATTAATTATTGTCAGCGTTCCCCCAGAGCTTTACTGGTCACTTATTGGATGATGATAAGAGGATAGATTCATGGGACCCACTTCAAGTACTTGTAGCAAGTCGCTCATGAGTAGTGTGACTGAAGACAAAGGTCACGAGGGTGTTTGTCAATATTCATCTAATTAAACCATGTGTATTTGTGCATTAAATGATCTATTCACACAAAACAGTTGTCAATGGGCTAAATGGTAACGCAAGAATCACAACGAGCTTACGGAGGCCAGATTGCGCCCAATTTTGGTCACTTAACGAAAAGTAATAAAACAAGTCCGAGTTTTGCGCCATCTCTTTTCGTCGTTCCATTTATCTTCATGAGCATTTTACGAGTAAACTTTAACCTACTGATTGATTGAATTTGAATACCTTTTCCACATTTTGATAGAAAAACCGAACGACTATTTGATCTAGACATGGACATGGTATACCTGTAGTTATATCATCAACCAATTCTAGACGCGTTAATTCAGAAGTTGTCGTTTGGAATAATTGGTGTGCTACTTTCATTATTACTGATAATATCGATAGATGAATAATAGGCATATATATAGATTTATAGATATTATTTAATTAGGAAACCATCTTGAGGAACAAATCATAAGTTTAGTGATTTACAAGTGCTATTGAGTGTGCACGATCCAGAGAACGTTTTGTTGCAATATGCAGAATCGTGCAAAATCTTTCGTTTCTACCTTTGAAAAACGTGTTCATACACACGCACAGTCTATTTCAAACCCTTTTTGCACCGTACATGTAGTATTTATGGAATTACAATAAATGAGCTTCCTACCGTTCCCTGCTGTTTTTTGTAAAGCATAATAGCAAATCATATCAGGACTTGCAAGTGTCAAACTACAGGTCACTTCTCACTGTTATCGTTTCAATCATAAAGTGTATTTAAATTTGTGATTAGTTGTCTAATTCTCTGATTTATTCGTAGTATCCGACCAGTTGCAAAATGGGTCATTATTATTGGATTAGTCCCGCAGCATCACCACATTTTTGTCATCAAACGGACTTAAGTTTATTCAGATGCTTGCGCGGGCACCTAATTTATCAAAAAAACATCGGTTTGGACATTCTTCTTTGAATCGAAACGTGAAAAGTGATTCGTGCATTCGAGTACTGTTACCTCATTATTTAAACACTGAGCTTGGTGAGCACTGTCTGTCCGCTGAACTTGAACATTCTCATCTGTCTATGTCAGTATTGTGTAATTCTTTTAATTCCTTCAACGTCTTTTTGGACAACCTCCCTTCCGACAGAACAATTCATTTGCCGTGATCATTTTGACCAACGGAGTGAGTTCGTATGCCACGTTCCAATACTGGAATATTGAATGGCCTGAACTGGACGTGGTTGTGTCCAATTCGCTGGCTCCGGAGGCTGGGATATTTATGCGTCCTTTGGGTGGTTATCAGCTACCTCGAAGTGGACATTCTGTGCAAACCTCGTTATGGACAACGTAAGTTGTTTATCAGCTGTCATGATAAGGATAAATATGACATACCAGTAGATCCGACTACGATGTAAATAAATCACGGTTCTGCGTAGGACTATTAAAATTATGCTCATGCATACGGCCACGGGTGTGATTTCAATACGTTTGGTCATAGCAACATCAGAGCTGACAAGCACAAGTGTCTTGAATACAAGATGATACAAATATCATCTCACCATGACAAGACGGTGAGGGTCACCAACCCACCACTCGAGGTTGTGCGTTCGAACCCCACCATCTCACCTCACTGTCCCTTTTGATTGGCTGTCTTTCTTCTGGAATCTGTTTTCACTTATGTATTCACTATGAATGTTGCAAA